ACAATCGTTTCTATTTTTGACTAAGGGTTGTCACGGTAACAGACGACTATAACTAAAAGATATCTCTTACAACCCAAAATTGAGAACGCAACGAAGTTTGTCTTTCCTCTGTTCTGTTCTTTGCCCCCCCACTTCCCTCCTCTACCCCTTCTCTTTCCCCCACCCCTCACTTCCTATAAAACTCCACCCCTTACCCCTATCCTTCCTCCTCCTTCTTGTACACACGAATGAGCATCATTACGAGAACAGACAAAATAATATAGGCCCATCTCAACTGTGCTTCATTGTCTGCAATAGAGGTAAAGCTGCTTCGATTTTGGATCTACTCGTCTAGGTGGAACAGGCGCTGTAGTGGTGGAAATATACAACACACAAAGCAACAGACACACACTCATTATCATCATACACACACATGCGCGTATACATGATCATCATGATCACACAAACAAACACAAACATACTTAGACAAACTTGTTTTGTTTAGGATCTGCTCATGTTAGTGTGTTCAATGTTGCTTTAACCGAGCAACTATAGTCAGTACAACAGCAGCAGCAGAAACACCAGTCTCAGCATCAGCATCAGCAGGTGCTGCTGATTCTGAAGCGCTTGCAAGGGGGCGGGGAGGGGGATACACACACACACATAAACACACACAATCATTTATATGTTTGACTAAGGGTCGTAACAGATGGCTATAACTGAAAAATACAAGCCGTAAACAAAAACCCCATTCTAATTGATTTTGACTAAAAGCCTTAACCGAAGGCTATAACTAAAGAGTGCAGGATCTCTCTCTCTCTCTCTCTCTCTCTCTCTCTCTCTCTCTCTCACACATACACACACACACACATACATACACTCTCTCTCACATACACACACACACACATACATACACACACACACACATACATACACACACACATACACACACACATACACACCCAATCATTTTTATGTTTTAGTAAAGGTCTTAAATGAAAATTATACACACACACACACAAACACACACAATCGTTTCTATGTTTGACTAAGGGTCGTAACAGAGGGCTATAACTGAAAGATACAAGCCATAAACAAAAGCCTTATTCTAATTGATTTTGACTAAAAGCCTTAAGCGAAGGCTATAACTGAAGA